GAGGAGTACGCCTCTCTCTCTCTCTCTCTTTGCTTCTCTCTCTCTCTCTTTCTCTCTCTCTCTCTCTCCCCACCCAGGAAGGAGGACAACAATCAGAAGAGGAGAAAGAGGAGGAGGAGGAGGAGGAGGAGGAGGAGGAGGAGGAGGAAGAGGAGGAGGAGAAAGAGGAGGAGGAGAAAGAGGAGGAGGAGGAGGAGGAGGAGGAGGAGGAGGAGGAGGAGGCGCGGACGGCGCCGCGGCACGGGAAGGGGAGCGCGACAAGAGACGTCGCTACCCCGCCGGCCGCGCCCCCCTGGCGGGTGCTACCGCTTAGCCTGGAAACGGCTGGGCGCCACTGGCCAGCGGCACTCAAGCACCCGCGCTGGCTCGCGCGCGGCCGCGCCCAGCTGCTCGGCGACGGGCTGGCGGTCGACGCCGCGGCCAGCGCCCTGGCCGCGCGCTGGGGCGCCTGCGCCGCGCCACAGCGCCAGCCAGCTCCGCACCACCCTCGGGCCCGAGGCCGCGCAGGCCGGCGCAGGCCTCCGCGGGGCCGCACTGGCCGACGAGTTGGCGCTGGCGGGGGCGCCCCAGGCTGGCGGCTGCGGCGGCTGGCGGGCCGGGCGACGCCGAGCCCTACTTTGTCGTAGCGGTACACGTCCTGAACAGCATCGGCGCGCGCGGGCACAGACCGCGCCTCGCCGCGCCAGGAGGAGGAGGGAGGAAGAAGGGAGGATGTGGATTTGTGTAAGTAAATGTTCGATTCCTGTAAAGGCCCCCCCCCCTCTCGCGCCATCCCTTGTGCGCGCCGCCAAGTAACAGCGGGCAAGACCGAAAAGCCAACGAGAGACGGAGAGAACCCTCGCGCGCGCGCCCCTTCTCGACCGGTATGACGCATGGGGAAGGGCCCCGGGAACAGGACTTTGCAACCCCTGCGCTTTGCCAGGGAAGCTCTCCGCTTTTCATTCCCCCTCGCCAGACCTGGCAAAGCGCAGGGTTGCGAAGTCCTGGTGTCCGGGGCCCTGCCCCACTCGCCCTACAGGTCCAGGCCAGTGTCCTGGTTCATGACATTCGTCTTTGGAAAGGGGCCCTCAAGAGGAGGCGGCCTCGGTGGGCCACTTTCTAGAGACGGCCTCGCCCATGCCACGCGGAGAACCGTTCGGGAGGGGAATGGCCAATCCATCTACCGACAGTGTCCACCTTCTGCCGAGGTCCCGGGGCGCCAGGGCGGGGCAGGAGCGCCCGTCGTGACCGTGTCGCGTCGCATGGAGGCCTGGAGGTCATGCTCCCCCCCGTTTCGGGGACGCCAGCCCTGCGCTTGCACTGAATTTGGCCAAGCCGAACATCAGGCCCAGGATCGGTGTGTATGCCTTCCTGGCTTGGCTAGGAGGGCGTGCCCATATACCCTGGGCCCATGATGTGCCTGGCCATGGTCGGTGAAGTTTTGCAGTCGGCGTTTTCCTGCCGTCCTCCGGTCCCGGAGCGCGCTATGGCCAGGATCTCGGGGCGGACTTAGCCGTAGGCGGCGATGACACTTGGATTATCCCGGCAAAGCAACCTAACAGCGATGTGTAGGAGCATATCTGGAAGCATCCCCCTTAAGATTCAGATGAGAATCCAGTTGTAGAGTTCTGCTGTTCTCGCAGTCGTAGTCGCATTCGCGATGACAGTCGCAGTGGCATGCATTAGCCTCAGCCTCAGCCTCAGCCTGCCTCAGCATCAGCCTCAGCCTCAGCTTCAGCCTGCCTCAGCCTCAGCCTCAGCCTGCTCCTGCATCAGCCTCAGTCTGCCTGCAGCCTCGGCCTCAGCCTCAGCCTGCCTCAGCCTGGGCCTGCCTCAGCCTCAGCCTCAGCCTCAGCCTGCCTCAGCATCAGCCGGCCTCAGCCTCAGCCTCAGCCTCAGCCTCAGCCTCAGCCTCAGCCTCAGCCTCAGCCTCAGCCTGCTTCAGCCTCAGCCTCAGTCTGCCTTCAGCCTCGGCCTCAGCCTCGGCCTGCTTCAGCCTCAGCCTGCATCTGCCTCAGCCTCAGCCTCAGCCTGCCTCAGCCTCAGCCTCAGCCTGCCTCAGCCTCAGCCTCAGCCTGCTTCAGCCTCAGCATCAGTCTGCCTTCAGCCTCGGCATCGGCCTCGGCCTCAGCCTCAGCCTGCATGAGCCTCAGCCTCAGCCTCAGCCTGGCTCAGCATCAGCCTGCCTCAGCCTCAGCCTCAGCCTGCCTCAGCCTCAGCCTCAGCCTCAGCCTGCTTCAGCCTCAGCCTCAATCTGCCTTCGGCCTCGGCCTCAGCGTCAGGCTGCCTCAGCCTCGGCCTGCATCAGCCTCAGCCTCAGCCTCAGCCTCAGCCTGCCTCAGCATCAGCCTGCCTCAGCCTCAGCCTCAGCCTGACTCTGCCTCAGCCTCAGCCTGCTTCAGCCTCAGCCTCAATCTGCCTTCAGCCTCGGCTTCAGTCTCAGCCTGCCTCTGCCTCAGCCTGCATCAGCCTCAGCCTCAGCCTGCCTCAGCCTCAGCCTGCCTCAGCCTCAGCCTCAGCCTGCTTCAGCCTCAGCCGCAGTCTGCCTTCAGCCTCGGCCTCAGCCTCAGCCTGCCTCAGCCTCAGCCTGCATCAGCCTCAGCCTCAGCCTTAGCCTGCCTCAGCATCAGCCTGCCTCAGCCTCAGCCTCAGCCTGCCTCAGCATCAGCCTCAGCCTCAGCCTGCTTCAGCCTCAGCCTCAGTCTGCCTTCAGCCTCGGCCTCAGCCTCAGCCTGCATCAGCCTCAGCCTCAGCCTCAGCCTGCCTCAGCATCAGCCTGCCTCAGTCTCAGCCTCAGCCTGCCTCAGCCTCAGCCTCAGCCTGCTTCAGCCTCAGCCTCAGTCTGCCTTCAGCCTTCGGCCTCAGCCTCAGCCTGCCTCAGCCTGCCTCAGCCTCAGCATCAGCCTGCCTCAGCATTCAAAATGTGTCCAGGGAATGGAATTCTGGGAGCTCGAAGAACACGAAGTGGCCTACAGTTTGCTCCGGGCATTTAAAATCATGCCCAGGAATGGAGTTCTGGGAAGTCCAAGAGCACGAAGTGGCCTACAGTTGGCTCCGGGCATCCAAAATGTGGCCCGGGAATGGAGTTCTGGGAACTCGAAGACCACGAAGTGGCCTACAGTTGGCTCCGGGCATCCAAAATGTACGCCGGGAATGGAGTTCTGGGAACTCGAAGACCACGAAGTGGCCTACAGTTGGCTCCGGGCATCCAACATGTACGCCGGGAATGGAGTTCTAGCAGCGCCAAGAGCGATTTTGCGAGGATGTCCAAGGCGATTTTGGCTTCGGCGGCAGCCGCCCCGCGTCCCGCCCCGACCCCCCTGAGGAGTCATGATGCTCTCTTTTGAGACCACTAGAAACCTATCAGTCTTCGCTGTTAGGTAAAAACCTCGATCCTCGTTCTCGCGTTCCTATCCCCCAGACTTCCGACGTCGTATTTTCTGCAACGCGTGGACCCCCGGGGGTCTCGACCCATTCCCAGGGGCCAGTTTTATCATCCCGAGACGTTTTGTTGGCGGCCGCCTGGCTCGGCAAGTGCCCCCAGCTGCCCCGCCTGGGCGCAGCTTTCCGTCGTGTTGATTTCGCGACGCGAAGGGGTCTGAGTCCTCCTCCTGTTCCTCCTCCTTCCTCCTTGGACCTGTCCAGGGGTGCGTTCTGGCAAGGGGCTTGAAGCGGATCCAGCCGTGGCCACTGGGGCGCCCCAGTCCGCCCCTGAAATGGGTGAGTAACACCTGGACGCCCCGATCGATCCTCGAATTGGAGTTCGAGTTCGTCCGTACTGTTTTTTTCTCCTCCTCCTCTTCCTCTTATCATCATCATCATCATCATCATCATCATCATCATCATCATCAGCATCATCATTCGCATCGTCAACATCATTATCAGCATCCTTATCAACATCATCACTAGCATCCTCATCAACATCATCAGCATCAGCATCCTCCTCCTCATCCTCATCATAATCATCACTATCAGCATTCTCATCATCCCCATCGTCGTCGTTATCGTCATCGTCCGCATCATGGTCACTACCATCATCAACATCACCATCACGATCGCCACCACCATTATTATCATCACCATCTTCATCACCATCATCACCACCACCATCATCATCAGCATCATCGCCGTCATCATGATCACCCTCATCATCATTATCAGCACCATCATCACCACTACCAGCACCAACATCATAATCATCATTATCATTACCATCATCGTCATCATAATGATCAACATCATCACCACAACCCTTACCACCACCACCAGCGTCACTATCAGCATCGTTACGGTCATCGTCATCGTCATTGTCATCATCATCATCATCACCACCATCAGCATTATCACCATCACGCCCACCACCACCATCATCATCATCATCATCACCACCAGCACTACCATCACCACCATCATTATCGTCATCATCGTCATCATCAGCATCATCATCACCATCATCATCATCACCATCATCATCATCATCATCATCGTCGTCATCTTAATCATCAGCATTTTCATCGTTTCCAGCACCATCATTACCACCATTATCATCATACTCGTTATCATTATCATCACCGCCACCACCACCATAACTATCATCATCATCCGCATCATCATCATTTCTATCATCATCATCATCATCATCATCATCATCATCATCATCATCATCATCATCATCATCGTCAACATCATCATCATCATCATCATCATCAGCATCATCATCATCATCATCATCATCATCATCATCATCATCTTCAGCATCATCATCATCACTACCATCACCACCATCACCATCACGGCGCTGCGTTGCTCGGCATCGCGCCTGGCAGCTTCCTCCTCGAAGCCGAGACGGCGAATTTCTTCAAGACCTCCACATGTGACATCAGCTCGGCTACCGGCGCGCCTCCTGCCAACGTTGCCAGGCCACCAGCTGCCAGCTTCACAGGATTACGTGCGACAACTCATGGAGGAGTTCGAAGCCTGCACTAGTGCCAACAACAAGCAATCCCTGGACAAGTTCGGCACAGAGCAGCGCTCGCACATTGGACACCTCATCAAGCACTTCGACGTGAAGGTCCGTGGTAACGAACCCAGCCTCCGTCAGCACGACATGGACATGCAGTTCAATTCCTTTTCGCTATGGCTAACGCAAAACGCGCCGCCCTCCGTCGGGACATCGAAGATCTCAAGCGCTGGCTCGATGTCGCAGAAGGGCAGGAGGGGGTCACCCTAGACTCTAGACGTCGCCGCGGTCGGAGACGACGCCATGCCCTTGCCGTCCTCAAGGTTCGGGTCTCCGAGTTTCGCCTCCCAAGCCGCCGTGGCAATCCTTCAGCGCGCTCCACAAGATCGCCAAACTCTCCGCTGATAGCGCCAGCGTCTCTGGTCCGCAAGCAGGCCGCTCCTTCGAAGTCCGCCTTAATGGAGTCAATGCTGCCATCAATGCCACCATGACCTTCGACGCCCAGCGGAAAGACGGGGAGTGGACCAGTCTCATTTGCACGCCAGCCAGCAGCAGCGGCGTCGCGAGCATCTTCGTGAGCCCGAACACGAACGGAAAAACCGAGCGCACCGAAAGAGTACCACGACAGCTGCGCACCGCCGTCATCACGTGCTTCCCGCACCTGCATAGGAGGAGGAGGAGGAGGAGGAGGAGGAGGAGGAGGAGGAGGAGGAGGAGGAGATTGAGGAGGAGGAGGAGGACCTGCAGAGCCACATCAGCCTTGCCAGGTCGGACGGCGCCGTCCTCGTGTATTCCGAGAGCCCGTCGCCCGCGCCATCGGCCTAACAAGCCCGGCCGCGTGCACCACAGCGCGGGAGGCTGGCGATCTGCCAGTCCCACGACATCGGCAGGGACACCGCTCTCGGCCAGGTCGCCGAGTTCAGCTTGGGTCGTTTCGCTGACACTCCATGGGGCCCGGTAACAAGTCGGGGGATCCTGCTGGCACTGCTGCGGACTACGGCGCCGGCTTTGCGTTGTGGAGTTCCCAGGGCTTCTACGCTTATGGCCACGTCCAGCGTACGGACAAAATCAAGTACCTGCGTCGCCTCCGGAAGATCAATTCCGTTGTCCTCATCGCAGAAGCTCCCTGTACAGTCGAGGCCTATCGCTCTCTTCTCCCTGACCTTGCGCGTGTCTGGTGGCTTGGCGGTGCCGCCGGTGCGCCCAGCTCTGGTGGGCTCATCGCATTTGTTCGCGAAGCCTGGGCCACCGCTGTAGTCCAGCCCGAGTTTGACATACTCGCGGAGATGCGGATGGTGCGCCTGACAGTGCGCAACCACCAACGCCACCCGCAAGGACAGAGCTGACACATTGCCAAACGGGTCTGTTCTTGCGGCCCAGAGATCGAAGCCCTCTGGGCAGCTTGCCCACGTCGCTCACAAGTTCAACATCGGCGACGGCGACCTCGCCAGCATCAAGAGCATGGCCCTCGAAGGTTACAGATACGCGGAGGCCTTCCCCTGAACAAGTCTGTGTGGCTTTTGGGTGATCGGAATTTCTCGGACAGCTACGAACGCGTGAAGGTTGCGATGGGCCCGCTTGCGCCTGGGCGACACCGCGCGTCGCAGCATGCCACTGCGTGCTCCATGCTGTGGGACGCCCGTGCGGTCGCGCTGCGCCCGCTTTTCACGAGGTGTTCGGCTCTAAGTGCGCAACGCCGTCGACATCGACGACGTGTCGACTGTCCTGGGGTGAGAGACGCACGAGGATGTTACTATGGGGACCGGCCGCGCCGTCCGCAATGCCATCCTCAAGTTTGCGCCCGACGTCACGCTCGCGAAAAAGCTGGCCATGCCGTCGCTTGCGCGAGCGGAGTGACAGGGGGGCCCGACTCTCGCCGAGGCCGCCCTCGGCATCTTCGCCGCTGGGGACGAGCTCGTCGCCATCGCGGATGGCCAGGTCGCGCTCGATGACCCGCTGGCTTTCGCCGACGCCTTCGACGAGATCGCTCCCGCCGAGCCCGCCGAGGAGGCTGGCCGCGTCGAAGCCCTGGCCGCAGTACGCTCGACTACCGGCGCGGCCAGGAAGCTGTGGGCACGCGCTCGTTGCGCACTGCCAAGAAGCTGTTGCTTGGCACCCACGTTGCCCAACCCGCTGGGGGGCGATTTTCTCATCGGGCGCTCCAAGGGCCAGGCTGGCGAACTCCCCAACCCGTTGGGGGGCTATTCTTTCATCGGGCGCCCCAAAGGCCAGGCTGGCGAACTCGCGATGGCGTGGGCGCCGCACTTTCAAAGGCAGCCGACCGACCAGTACATCGCGAAACAACGCGTGCAGGAGTGGGCCGCGCCGCTGGGCCGGTCGACAGTCCCGCCGCCGCCGACCGGCTTCGTCAGGTCCTCCCTCGAGTCTGCCACGGATTGTTGCCCCCGCCCAGTTGGCCTCCCTACTCGTTGTGGAAGCGCGCGGGCGACTGGGGCGCCGAGACTCTGCTATAGGTTATGCCCCGCATGTGCGCTGGCCCCCCCGAAGGTGGCATTCGCGGGCGACGCGGTGGAGATCCGTCGCGAGCCGGAAGACGCGCGCTCGGGTGGTCTCAAGAACGCGGACACTAAGACGTGTTTCGACGCCTTCAGTTTCATGTTGAGGGACGTCGCCACCAACGGAGTCTCCACCACCCAGAGGGACTTCGTGGCGCAGCGCCAGCTAACGCAGAGCATCGCCGTGTGCGCCGCGCCCCCGACTACGGCCATCCGCAGTGCTTCCGGGGCCGCCCCGTCCTCGCTCTCTGGGACATTGCCGCTGCGTTCCCCAGCTTCCAGCATTGCTGGATCTGGGTGTCCTGGCGCGCTCTGGGCATGCCCGGCGGCATCTTGGCGTGTTTCGAATTGGTCACCGGCGTTTTCGCTTACTTCTTTGAAGGGGAATCGCTCCGAGGCTGCCCGCTGAGCGGCGTCGTCTACGCTGCGTGCCCCCGCCCGTTCGCCGAGCGCATGGAGAGAACGGGTGGGCCTCCGCGGCTTGGCCGCGACTCGCATCTGCTCCGACGACGTAGGCGCGGTTGCCGAGGGCCTGAGCACCCTTGGCGAGTGCGCTGGCATTTTTCGCCTTTGTGAAGTCTTGCGCCGGCCTCTCCCTGAGGCAGCGCATTGCCAGCTGATGCCGTAGTGCGTGGCGATCGCCATCCAGAGGGTCGTGTTTGATCCGTGGCCTCTCCCTGGCCATCGGCCCCGAGTGGGCCCAGTTCAACGTCGCCGTGGCCGCCGCCATTTTCGGGCGCGTCATGGGCCCCAACGTCCCTGATGGGACGTGGGCGGCCCCCGTGAAGAAGCGGCGGCGGCGGCGGGCGGGATCCAGGCCGAGATCGCGGTCGCCGGCAAGTTGTGGCGCGCGCCGCCTTCGACGTTAACGGTCCGCGGACTGGCCTGCACCTCCCGGTTCGGCGCCGTCGACGTCGCTTCCGCCTCGCCCCCGTGCGTCGCGGCCGTCGTCGGGGCCGCCGTGAGGGTCGTCGACTGGGAGACGCTGCTGGGCAACCTGCGCGTGACGGACCACTGCGCAGCTTTGAAGAGTGGCGTCGGCGAGCTCGCTAGGGTTGTCCAGTAGGCGCCGCCCTGGAAAGCTCTGGAGAGTGAGTGGTTTCCAGGAGGTGACAGTCGCGAGCAAGAAGCTGCACGTGGGCATGGCCTATGGAGTTTCAAATGGGTAGGTCTCGGCGCCGCGGGCATCCGTGTGCAGTAAATCGCATGCGACAACCTACCTCGAGCAGGAGATCTTCCAATTATCATCGCCCATGGATGCGTCCAGGCTGCGGCTGGTCAAACACTAACCTGGGGCTGCCGACAGCATTCGCCAGCTTGATCTCTACGGGCTCCAGATGACCATGAAGAAGTCCCACTCGCGAAAGGCAGTCAGATGCTGCGAAACTTGGCTGGGCGGCTGGACGACGTCGGCTCGCCTCCGCGAGGGATCAATCCACCAGTGTCTCTTCGGGTGCAGCTGCGCTGCCTCCGGCGAGTGGAAGCACCGCGACAATTGCTACCAACTCTGGTCGACAGCTGACGACGTGTTCGGCAGAAAGCCTCCACCTCAGCGACTGGAGTCGCTGGGCCTGGGCGCCGAGACCCCCGACGACCTGGCCCCAAACATGGTCGCTTCCGAGAAGTACCGCGCAATGAAGCACGCGCATGTGGAACATCTTACAACGCCGTCAATTTGCACAAGTACACACCGCTTGACGGACCGCCTTCCCATGGCGGCCGCGCGCCTCTGTCGCAGGAGCATCAACGGTGCGGAGAGCGGGGGCCGCTTGCGACCTCGCTTGCTCCTCGTCCTCCTCTTTCTCCTCCTCTTCCTCCTCCTCCTCCTCCTTCTCCGCTCCCTCTTCCTCCGCCTCCTCCTCCTCCTCCTCCTCCTCCTCCTCCTCCTCCCCTTCCTCCCGATGCCGACGTCATCACTCTCCTCATCAGCGTCCGTCACCAGCATCGCCATCAACATCATCATCACCACCACCAAACTCACCAGCATCATCACCGTCGTCATCACCATCAGCGTCATCATCTTCCTCCTCCTCTCCCTCTTCGGTCTGGCAGCGTCCTGGCGCAGCTGCGCCGGCGCGCCAAGCGACGCTCGGAGCCGCTGGCAGAGCCGCTGCTGTTTGCCCTGCCGTACCCCACGCCGGCGCCTCGGCACGCCCGCAGTCAGGAGGGAAAACAACACACAGACACAATTAGTCGTCGATCCCCCAGAAAATGTGGGAACATATGGGAAGTGGGGGGGAAGGCAAAACCCAGAACATATGGGAATATATGGGAAGCCTGTTATTTGTGTGTATTTATTTGTGTGTCCCAGGGCACCTTCACGCAGTGTGGAGGGGAGGGGAAGAGCTGGGATGATAGTGATGGTTGTGATGCAAGTTGCGGGTGGCGAAGGGGGTGACGGCTATGATGGTGGTGATGGTGACGATGATGATGGCTATGAGGATTTTGAGGATGATAACGACGTGCGGTATGATGCTGAATAACAGCATCATTGCAGACATCATCGTAGTGATTGCGGCATCTAGGTGATGACAGTTATGGGGATATTAATTATGAGTATAGCGTTGATGATGATGGTGATAAGAAAGGAGGATGGACAGGGAAGAAGGAGGACGAGGAGGAAAAGGGTCATGGGTCCGCCTCGAGATCGCGATCAGAACGCGCGCCATGATAGGCGTAGAGGTTGATATTGAGGGAGGGAGTCGGGGAGGACCCCGATTCCCAAGCGCAGTGTGAAGGTTACGACGGTGTTCTTGCACGTTGTCGGGCCAGGTTCAGATGAACCGCCGTGCGGCCGCCCTTGAGGAGCCATCGGATCTGGCACCCATCCCGAGAGGTCGTCGATACGACGGGGACTCTCCAGGGGTTAAAGAGAAATAGCTCCCCCAGTTGTGGCTGGTCGGACTGTCGGAGCCAGGTCCCCCAGCTTCTCCTGCAGTCTGTGGTTGGAAGGCGGGAGGGCCTCTAAGAGGCCCCGCTGCCTTCTCACAAAGCCCCCCCCCTCGCCCCACCCCCTCGTGTGCCGAAAACACATCCGCATCCACGGTCAAGTCGGGCGTGTCCCTCTACGGGGGGGATGCCCAAAGATAGTCGAAACATGATGTGGGGACGATTTCTTATCGACTATTTTTGACTCTTTTGGGGCATTTTTGGAGTAGGTTTTTGTTTTTCGCCCAAAATCCGCCTGTAGGGGGACATTCAGGAGGGAGAAAAACAAGCAGACACAATTAACCTTCGATCCCCCAGAAAATATGGGAAAATATGGGAAGTGGGGGGGAAGACAAAAACCCAGAAAATATGGGAACATATGTGGGATCTTTTTATTAGTGTGTATTTATTTGTGTGTCTCATGACCCCTTCAGACATGCCCGACCGAAAGCCACGGCCTCGCGGGCTGGGCCCCTGGGCCGCGCCGCCGTGGAGACGGGGGCGCTCTGTCGCAGCTGCGAGGGCGTGGGCGTGGACACGGCCGCCAGGCCTCCGGCCAGGGCGTCTTCGGACTTGTCTTAAGTCGGGCCTGTCCCCCTACAGGGGGATTTTCGACGAAAAATAGAAAACACACAAAAAGGTAATCCCTTGACTATTTCTGGACTATTTTTTGAAAACGTTATTTTTCGTCGAAAATCCCCCTGTAGGGGGACAGGCCCGACTTCAGACTTGTCGGGCAGAGCCAGTGGCGTTGGTCGCCCGTGCCTCCCGCCGGTGCCCATCGTCAAGCAGTGGCGAAGCGTCCTGGCGTGCCCAGAGTCAGGAGGGGAAGAAACACACAGGCACAATGAATCGTCGATGCCCAGGAGAAAATGGGAAGTGGGGGGGAAGACGAAAACCCAGAACATGCGGGAACATGTAGGGAATCTTTTTTTTTGTGTGTATATTTTTTTTGTGTCCCAGAGCCCCTTCACAGAGGCCCACCAAACAATGTTCTGAGAGCCTCCTGTAGTTTCCGCGAGGTGTTCTCAGAGCATTCCTGGCCGGGACCGTCCCGTTCTAAGAACAGCGTCTGCGTTCGTAGAACAGTGCTGGGTTCTGAGAACATGTCGTGGCAGGCCTGCAGGAATGCCGGGACGGTCGGCCCCTGCCCAACGTCGAGGAGGACGGCCGTGCCCTGGCGCCGCGGGGTGTGAGCGCCCTGCCGCGGCGCGCCCACCTCCCGCGCGTCCGAGCCCGGTGGCTCGTGCGGGCGCCGCGCTGACTTCGTGGCTGGCGGCGCGCCGAGCCTCGGCGCGCCGCCACTTCGCCCCGTTGCGGGTGCGACGCGCACGTTCGAGAGGGCGGCTGGCCTTTTCGGCGGCTGACGCACGGGCGGCGCACGGGCGACGACTGCGCGACGCACTCCTTGTCGCGAAGGGGGAGGGGTCAGCACGCCGCCGGTCGCATCACTGGGCCTTAACACGCCGAGGGGCGGGAAGGTCGACGGGGCGGGCCCTCTCAGAAGCCGCCAGGGCTGCTCAGAGGCCCTCCCTCTGACTTCGGGTGAAGTCGGGGCTGTCCCTCTGCATGAGGAGTATTCCAAGCTGGTCCAAAACATGATCGACCCACGAACCCGGGAAATAATAGGGAAATGCGACGCATGGCAGTTTTTTCAAAGACACCTGATTGGGTGACGGGCACATGCAATGCTGTTTGTGTCGATCTGGATGTACCTTGCCGAGGGCTGTGCTGTGTTGCGCCGTGCTGAATTGCGATGTGCCATGCCGCGATTGTGCTCTACAGCGTCGTGGACCGAGTCCCTCTTTGCATCCGAGTCCCGACCGAACTGATCTGGATCTTAAGCTCGAGCTGCCTGAACACAGTAGCTGCCCCAGAGCTAATTTACAGAGGGGACATGCCAGGAGGACGCGCCGCGAAACGTCCCAAGGGACGCGCCAGGCGACGTGCCAGGGGGCGTGCCATGGGGTCGCACCGCGGGACGTGTCAAGGGGACGCGCTACGGAACGTGCCAATGGATGTGCCACGGGATGTGCTAGGGGACGCGCCACGCGACGTGCCAGGGGGACTCGCCAAGGGACGCCCCGCGGAACGTGCCAAGGAACGCGCCCGGTTGCAATGCTGAGAGTATCGATCTTGATGTACCGTGCCGAGGGCTGTGCTGTGCTGCGCCGTGCTGAAGTGCGATGTACCATGCCGCGATTGGGCTCTATAGCGTTGTGGATCGAGTCCCCCTTTTGCATCCGAGTCCTGACCGAACTGATCTGTATCTTGATCTCGAGCTGCTTGATCACATAATAGCTGTTCCATAGCTAATCGACAGGGGGACATGCCAGGAGGACGCACCGCGGAACGTTTCAAGGGACGCGCCAAGCGACGTGCCAGTGGACGTGCCATGGGGACGCACCGCGGGACGTGCCAAGGTGTCGCGCTACGGAACGTGCTGGGGACAAGCGTTTCGCTCGAGACATCATGTCAAAATCCTCATGCCAGACATCCGCCTTAGCGACCTGGACACGTGAACACAAGCGTTTCGCTCAACACATCCTCAACGCATTCTCATGCTAGAAATCCGCCTGGGCGAATTGGACACGTGAGTGCAAGTGGGTTGCTCGAAACATCCTCAACACATCTTCATGTGATACGTCCGCCTGGGTGACCTGGTCACGTGAAAACAAGCGTTTCGCTCGAGACGTTTTCGACACTTCCTCATTCTAGACATCCGCCTAGGCGACCTGGACACGTGAAACCAAGCGTCTCGCTCGAGACATCCTCAACACATCTTCATGTTATACATCCGCCTGGGCGACCTGGACACGTGAAGACAAACATCTCGATCGAGACTTCCTCAACACATCCTCATGCTAGACATCCGCCTGGGCGACGAGGGCGCGTGGAACCAAGCGTCTCGGTCGAGACATCCTCAACAAATCCTGGCGCTAGACCTCTACCTGGGCAACCTGGACACGTGAAACCAAGCGTCTCGCTCGAGACATCTTCAAGACCTGGGCACGAGAAAACAAGCATGTCACTTGAGAGATCCTTGGAATAGAGGAGAATCTATCAGACAAAACAAGTGTTTCGCTCGAGACATCCCCAACACATTCTGCTGAAAGACAAGCGTTTCGCTCGAGACATCCTCAAACATAAATTCGCCGGCCCTACGCGACCTCGTTATTCATCGCAAAATATGTTCGCTGGCCTACAGTCGTCAGAACCGGGGGTAAACACACTAAAAGAGAACCCTGGGCCCGAGTCCTTTCCAGGAAATGGTCCGGGGACGATTTTTTGACTATTTTTTGATGTTTTGTTTTTTCGTCCCAAACCCGCCTGTAGGGGGACATGCCCGACCTCTGGCCTTGGAGAAGCCGTCTGTGTCCTCTGAGAAGTAGGCAGGTCTCCGAGAGCTCCCGAAAAGGCCCGCCCCCCTCCGCCCTCCCCTCCTGGGCGCGCGCCGACGTCTTGAGAAAGGTCGGCGGGCGCGTGGGTGTCGTCGTCCTGGCCTCGTCTGGCCTCCGCAGCTGCAGGTCGTGCTTCCGGGAGTGCTTCGCGCCCGGATCCGCCCAGTGCTTCCGGCGGCGCAGGGCCTTCTGCCTCGCGACGTGCACAGGGGGCGCCCGCCGCTGGCCCCCAATCCTCTGCTTGCGGGGTCGGTCGTCGAGACGGTCCGGTTGCTCGGGCAGTCTTTGCACGCACGCTTTCGCCTCTGGTGCTGTGCCCCCCAAGCTTGGCTTTCGCGGCTGTCGCAGCGAGTGTCTGCGCTCAGCCTTGGCCTTCGCAGGCAGATGTTGACTAGCGAGGTTGCGCGCTTCCAAGGCTGCGGAGGATGGATGGAGAATGGCAAAGGCGAGGAGGCTGGAAGATAGACTGAGATATGGAGAGAGAGAGAGAGACGAAGAAAGGGAGAGAGGGGAGATACGAGGAGGGCGAGCTAGGTCCGTTCGCGACATATTTGTCATCCTATCCCTCCCACCCATCCCTTCCCACTGCGCTGATTGTTGTATATCTGCTGACGTGTGTTATAGCGGACCTGGAACCTCCCAAAGGGCACTACCATCGTATGCGCAGTCAGAAAAGGGGAAGGGGTACAGTCAGGCCCTCGAAATAAGGTCCAGTTCGGGTTCGGAAGGGGCTCGGTGGTTCCTTGCGTCTGCTGGCGTTCCCTCGCCATTGTGCCACAGAGCCCCCTCGGCGTTCCTTGGAAGAGGGATGGGGTCTCTGCCAAAACGAGAGGCATTGATGAGGGAACGCCTTCAAAAAGGGGCTCGGCCGTTCCTTCAAATGTATGACTTGATTTTGACAAAAAGGGGCTTCGTTCCTTATTTAGCGTTCCTTCTGTCAGGGGCCTGACTGTGGGGAGGAAGTGGCTGGATGTGTCGTGCGGGCAGCAAGTCTAAAAGAGGTTTCTGGACGAGGCGTGCCTCGACGTTCCCCCAGGCTGGCCTCACCTCCCTCGCACTGGGCTGCATACGGTAGGGCGGAAGTGGAGCAGCTGTGCAATTCACCGGGCTGGCCCCTGATTGGGAGGACAAAGTGACTGAGGGCGACAGTTTTTCCCAACCATCCTGTGGTGTTGGGTCCTCGTTTTGAAGAGACGGTGCCCCGCGTTCCCCTCCTCCTCTCCTCTCCTCCTCTTCCCCCTCCTCCCTCCTCCCATCAGCATCATCATCATCATCATCATCATCGTCATCGTCATCATCGTCATCATCATCATCATCGTCATCACCCACCATCATCGTCATCATCACCATCATCGTCACACCTCTCACACGTTTCGTGGCCCCATAGGGAGCTCCACCGAAGGCCCCAGTGCTGCCGCCCGCATGCGTCAGCCACACCCAATTCGGCACCCCTCACATCATAGGGAGCTCCACCGAACCAGTCATCGTCACACCTCGGCACACCCCTCACACGTTTCGTGGCCCCATAGGGAGCTCCACCGAAGGCCCCAGTGCTGCCGCCCGCATGCGTCAGCCACACCCAATTCGGCACACCCCTCACACGTTTCGTGGCCCCATAGGGAGCTCCACCGAAGGCCCCAGTGCCGCCGCCCGCATGCGTCAGCCACACCCAATTCGGCACACCCCTCACACGTTTCGTGGCCCCATAGGGAGCTCCACCGAAGGCCCCAGTGCTGCCGCCCGCATGCGTCCCCACACCCATTTCGGCACACCCCTCACACGTTTCGTGGCCCCATAGGGAGCTCCACCGAAGGCCCCAGTGCTGCCGCCCGCATGCGTCCCCGCACCCATTTCGGCACACCCCTCACACGTTTCGTGGCCCCATAGGGAGCTCCACCGAAGGCCCCAGTGCTGCCGCCCGCATGCGTCAGCCACACCCAATTCGGCGCACCCCTCACACGCTTTCGTGGCCCCATAGGGAGCTCCACCGAAGGCCGCAGTGCCGCCGCCCGCATGCGTCAGCCACATCCAATTCGGCACACCCCTCACACGTTTCGTGGCCCCAGCCCGCATGCGTCAGCCACACCCAGTTCGGCACACCCCTCACACGTTTCGCGGCCCCATAGGGAGCTCCACCGAAGGCCCCAGTGCCACCGCTCGCATGCGCCCCGCACACCCATTTCGGCACCTCCACCAAATACAGCGTTTCGTGGCCCCACAGGGACCTCCACCGAAGGCCCCAGTGGTGCCGCCCGCATGCGTCACCCCCACCCCAGCACAGCATTTCGTGTCCCCACAGGGAGCTCTACCGAAGGCTCCAGTGGTGCCGCCCGCATGCGCCACCCCCACTCAGCACAGCGTTTCGTGGCCCCACAGGGAGCTCCACCGACGGCCCCAGTGGTGCCGCCCGCATGCGTCACCCCCGCCCAGTACAGCGTTTCGTGGCCCCACAGGGACCTCCACCGAAGGCCCGATTGGTGCCGCCCGCATGCGTCACCCCCACCCAGCACAGCGTTTCGTGGCCCCACAGGGAGCTCCACCGAAAGCGGCACCCGCAATGTGATATTCACAACTGCACATGGTTGGGTCCTTCGCCAGGATAGTTTTTTTCTGGCATCTTCTCTTTCGTTTTCTGTCTTCTCCTCCTCCGCCGCCTCCTCCTCCCCCTCCTCCTCCTCCTCCTCCTCCCCCTCCTCCCCTCTCCTCCTCCCTCTCCTCCTCCCCCTTCCTCCTCCTCCTCTCCTCCTCCTCCTCCTCCTCCTCCTCCTCCTCCTTCCTCCTCCCCCTCCTCCTTTTTTTCCTCCTCCTCTCTCCTCCTCCTCCTCCTCCTCCAAGCAGGTGGCGCGCAGCGGCAGAGGCCCCGCCCGCGGCACGCTCGGGTTCGCGGGGACCTCGCTCTCCCCCGCTTTCTCGCCCTCCTCCCTCCTCCCTCCTCCCTCCTCCTCCTCCTCCTCCTCCTCCTCTTCTCCTCCTCTTCCTCGTCCTCCTCCTCCTCCTCCTCCTCATCCTCCTCCCCTCCTCTTCGTCTCCTCCTCTTCCTCCTCCTCCTCCTCCTCCTCCTCCTCCTCCTCCTGCTCCAATGACCAAGGTCGGTCCTGAGCCCCGCGAGCTTCACGAAAACCGACTACGCGGCCATGTACATGGCCAAGGCCAAGCGCAAGATCGAGGCAGCGCCAGCGCTTGCCCAGCCTCTCGGGGGGGCGGCGTAGACTGGTGCCGCGGATGCGCCTCGGTGCGCCGAGTACGCCTAAACTCCGTACTCGCGATGCCGAGTCCACATTTCAACGTCGCCCTTGCCGTTGGCGCGCGCGTCCGATCAGGCTTTTTTGACGCCTTAGGTTGGGAGCTGTGCTTCTCTTCTCCTTCCATCTTAGTCCCCCCTTCTGCTCGTTCTGTTAATTTCCCTCTTTCATGTTCTCTCTCTTGTTGCTCCCCTCATCATCCCCCCTCCTGTCTGTCTCCCCATCCACCTCCTGCCCCCCACTATTTCCCAACCATCCTGTGGTGTTGGGTCCTCGTTTTGAAGAGACGTCGTCCCGCGTTCATTCTCTCCTCCTCCTCCTCCCCCTCCTCCCCCTCCTCACCTCCCTCCTCCTTCTTCCATGCGTTTCACCCACCCAGCACAGCGTTTCGTGGCCCCACCGGGAGCTCCACCGAAGCCCCCACTGGGACCGCTTGCATGCGTCCGCCACCACCCAGCACAGCCCTTGCTCCCTGCGTTTCACCCACACAGTACAGCGCTTCGTGGCCCCATAGGGAGCTCCACGGAAGGTCCCAATGGCACCGCCCGCATGCGTCCGCCACCAACTAGTACTGCCATGCTCTTTCCGTTTCACCCACCCAATACAGCGTTTGGTGGCACCCAGACAGGGCGCGTCCATGCTCCACCGAAGGTCCCAGTGGCACCGCCCGCATGCGTCCGCCACCACCCAGCACAGCCCTTGCTCGCTGCCCTGCGTTTCACCCACCCAGTACAGCGTTTCGTGGCCCCATAAAAGGGGCGCCACGGAAGGTCCCAGTGGCACCGCCCGCATGCGTCCACCACCACCCAGTACAGCCATTGCTCCCTTCGTTTCGCCCACCCAGTACAGCGCTTCGTGGCCCCATAGGAAGCTCCACGGAACGTCACACTGGCACCGCCCGCGTGCGTCCACCACCACCACCCAACACGGTCTTTGCTCCCTGCGTTTCACCCACCCAGTACAGGGCTTCGTGGCCCCATAGGGAGCTCCACCGAAGGTCCCAGTGGCACCGCCCGCATGCGTCCGCCACCCCCCAGTACAGCCATTGCTCCTTTCGTTTCACCCACCCAGCACAGCGCTTCGTGGGCCCATAGGGAATTCCACCGAAGGTCTCAGTGGCACCGCCCGCATGCGTCCGCCACCACCCAGCACAGCCCTTGCTCCCTGCGTGTCACCCACCCAGTACAGCGCTTCGTGGCCTCATAGGGAGCTCCACGGAAGGTCCCAGCGGCACCGCCCGCATGCGTCCGCCACCACCCAGTACAGCCCTTGCTCCCTTTGTTTCACCCACCCAGTACAGCGCTTCGTGGCCCCATAGGGAGCTCCACGGAAGGTCCCAGTGGCACCGCCCGCATACGTCCGCCACCACCCAGCACAGCCTTTGCTCCCTGCGTTTCACCCACCCAGTACAGCGTTTCGTGGCCCCAGAAGGGGGCTCCATGGAAGGTCCCGGTGGCACCGCCCGCATGCGTCCGCCACCACCCAGCACAGCCCTTGCTCCCTTCGTTTGCCCACCCAGTACAGCGTTTCGTGGCCCCATAGAGAGCTCCACGGAAGGTCCCAGTGGCGCCGCCCGCATGCGTCCGCCACCACCCAACACGGCCTTTGCTCTTTGCTTTTCACCAATCTAGTACAGCGCTTCGTGGCCCCATAGGGAGCTCCACGGAAGGTCCCAGTGTCACCGCCCGCATACGTCCGCCACCACCCAGCACAGCCTTTGCTCCCTGCGTTTCACCCACCCAGTACAGCGTTTCGTGGCCCCAGAAGGGGGCTCCATGGAAGGTCCCAGTGGCACCGCCCGCATGCGTCCGCCACCACCCAGCACAGCCCTTGCTCCCTGCGTTTCGCCCACCCAGTACAGCGCTTCGTGGCCCCATAGGGAGCTCCACGGAAGGTCCCAGTGGCGCCGCTCGCATGCGTCCGCCACCACCCAACACGGCCCTTGCTCCTTGCTTTTCACCAATCTAGTACAGCGCTTCGTGGCCCCATACGGAGCGCCACTGAAGAAACTATTCACAATTGCGGTATTCACAACTGCAGATGGTTGGGGTTTTCGCCAGGCTAATTTCATTGTTCTGCTCTTGCCCTTCCTCCCCCTCCCCTCTTCGATCTCGTCCTCCTGCTCGCCCTGCCTCTCCGGCTGCCCAATTCCCCGCATCCCCCTGCACCTTCTCCTGCTGTTCCTGCTGTTCCTACCCCTCCCCTGTGCCTCGTCGCCTCCTCCCCCCCGTCCCCTTTTCTTCCTGCTGCTGCTCCTACCCCCCCCGTCCAGATCCTGCTGCCGCTGCTGTATTTATCCGTAAGGGCTTCGCCCCCTGCCGCCGGCCCCCTCTCTCGGAGAATGGGCCATGGAAGAGCTAAGTCATGAGGCTTTGGCGCTGTCGTGCAGCAGTATCGGAACTTCATGCGAGGCCGATTCGCAATCGGCAAAACCAACTGATCACAAGAGGGGTTACCACACAGGGCGATTGGTAAGACGTGTATGGTTTACGAGCTTGGTTACCACACCTTGGGATTAAAGGGCCGAGGGAGTACTCGCAGTTTGGGTTACCACGCCTTGCGATGGATGTGCGTGAGGGGTGGCACCGAATTTCAGAAATGTGGCAAATCCCCTGTGTTTTTGGACCCTGACCCCGCGGATCTGCGTGAGGGGTGGCACCGAATTTCAGAAATGTGGCAAATCCCTTGTGTTTTTGGACCCTGACCCCGCGGATCTGCGTGAGGGGTGGCACCGAATTTCAGAAATGTGGCAAATCCCCTGTGTTTTTGGACCCTGACCCCGCGGATCTGCGTGAGGGGTGGCACCGAATTTCAGAAATGTGGCAAATCCCCTGTGTTTTTGGACCCTGACCCCGCGGATCTGCGTGAGGGGTGGCACCGAATTTCAGAAATGTTGCACCCTGACCCCGCGGATCTGCGTGAGGGGTGGCACCGAATTTCAGAAATGTGGCAAATCCCCTGTGTTTTTGGACCCTGACCCCGCGGATCTGCGTGAGGGGTGGCACCGAATTTCAGAAATGTGGCAAATCCCTGTGTTTTTGGACCCTGACCCCGCGGATCTGCGTGAGGGGTGGCACCGAATTTCAGAAATGTGGCAAATCCCATGTGTTTTTGGACCCTGACCCCGCGGATCTGCGTGAGGGGTGGCACCGAATTTCAGAAATGTGGCAAATCCCTGTGTTTTTGGACCCTGACCCCGCGGATCTGCGTGAGGGGTGGCACCGAATTTCAGAAATGTGGCAAATCCCTTGTGTTTTTGGACCCTGACCCCGCGGATCTGCGTGAGGGGTGTCGATTTCGAGCCCCCCCAGCAATTCAGACAACGCGCCCAGGGGGTGCTAAAAGTCCCGTTTGGGCCTCCCCCCCCCTCGCGCGGTCAATCAACTAGTTACAGTAACCAGCAAGAAGCAGAACTGTAAAACTGGAAACTACAAGCTACAACTGGTATAGGAAACTGCGAACCCGCGCCTACAGCCTGGTGGCCCCACAAGGGGGCCGGCGGATTTCTTCCTCCTCTCCCCTCCTCCTCCTCCTCTTCCTCTTCCTCCTCCTCTTCCTCCTCCTCCTCCCCTCCTCCCCTCCTCCCTTCCCCCCCCTAGACGTAGCCAATACAATTCCTTCTCCCCTTCCCCGTGCCGATGTCCTTCCTCCTTCCCTCCTCCTCTCCCCCTCCCTCGTCCCTCGCTCCCTCCCTGGCATGAAGATGCTGATGCCGCTTTTTCCCGTACCTTTTCCCCGGGCGTGTTCTGACGAGGACTCCGTCGCGACTCCCACCATGGCGGCGAGGGGCCCCCAGGAGGCCCCACGAAGACGAAATGATGGAAGGGTGGCGATTTCGGTTCCTCCTCCTCCTCCTCTTTTCGGAATCGCTGCAGTGAGGTGGTGATCATCATGCATATCGGTTTGGCCAGCAGAAAGACTCGTGCATGTGCACGCACCGAGGCGTGTGTTGAGCGTCGACCTACGTGACCTGTTCCTGCCTTTCTCCGACGTAGTATTTGTTTTGGGGCGTCGGGGCCCATCGATTTGGACTCGTTCCCATGGGCGGGTCTTTCCTCTGGAGTTGTGTTGGGTGGTCCTGGTGCCGGGACGACCTCCTGAGGCCGAAATGTCCGAACATTGGTTCGTGCGTCGCTCAGACCTGAGTCCTTCTGCCAGGCGACGACAGACGACCCTGGCTCCAGCCTCCGAGCCCTTTGGGAGGACGGCACTAGCACGGACGACCGCGCAACAGAACCATCCCAACGAGCAGCACAGGAGCGGCCACGACTGCCGCGACCAGTAACAGCATCACGGGGAGCACCGCAAACATGACAGCAACACCGCGCGCATTGGCACCAGCGCAGCGGGCAGCACCACAACGGCCGCATCGACGGCGAACACGAACACCTGCTCCAGCTGCTTCTACCACGACCCCCGACCCCCGACGACGCCGACCGACTCCCGTCTCCCCCTGCCCTTCCTGCCTTTACCCTGTTCTGCTCTTCGGAGCCGCCCGCCCTTGCCTGCTTTTTGCGCTTCCTCCTCCTCCTCCTCCTCCTCTTTTCTGGGCCCTTTGTCCTGGGGCCTGCTCCAAACGGAGACAGGGCATGGAGTGGGCCCGAGGCTTGGTGCACGCGGTGGCGAAAGTGGCATGTGCGTCGTGCTGCCACCCGTTTCTGCCCGAACCAGAGCCCTCGGGGCAGTTTTAAGAGGAGGTCGGCCCAGGGCTGCAGTGGGGCTCAGCGACAGCCAGGCTGCGGGAAACCCTCGTAGAGCCGCCTGGACCTCCATGTCCGCAGGCGGCAAGGACCAGGAGGAGAAGGACCAGGAGGAGGAGAAGGAGGAGGAGGAGAAGGAGGCAGAGGAGGAAGAGGGGTGGCAGCAAGCAGGTCCCCCCCACCGTCCCCCTCCCTCCTGCTAGTCCTTTCCCCTCTCCCCCCGCCCTTCCCCCCTCCTCTCCCCCCCCGTCCCCGCTGCCCTCCTGCCTCCTCCCCCTCTTCATCCTCCTGCTCGACGACGACGGCGGCCACCCTACAACCCCGTGCGGAAAGCAACTGGTGTTTGGTGAGCCCCCCTGGCCCCCTCTTTCAATGTTGATCATGCGCCCGGCGAAGTTCGAAAAACACAAACCGGCACCGCATTGAACGTTGAGAATGTGTGTGCGTGTGGGAAAACACCAGTTGCTTTTCGCACGGGTTGTACCTCCTCCCCCTCTTCGTCCTCCTGCTCGGCGACGACAGCGGCCAGCCTAGTCCCGACCTCCTCCCGGCCCGCCAGGGAAGGGAGGGGGTGGAGGCAGCACGCGCAGGCGCTCGCCGTGCGCTCCGCTTGCGGGAGCGGACGCCGGCAGTGCCTTTGCCCTCAAGGAGCAGCAGCAAGAGGAGCAGCATCAGCAGGAGGAGGGGCAGCGGAGGAGGAGGAGGAGGTGAAGGAAGAGGAGGAGGAGGCTGTTGCTCCGGCTGATGCTGCTGCTGCTAATAACGATGATGATGATGATGATGATGATGATGATGATGATGATGATGATGATGATGATGATGATGATGATGATGATGATGATGATGATGGTGATGATGGTGGTGGTTGTGTGGTGGTGGTGGTGAGATGATGATGATGCTGCTGCTGCTGTGATGATGACGATGATGATGATGCTGCTGCTGCTGCTCATGATGATGATGATGATGATGATGATGATGATGATGATGATGATGATGATGATGATGATGGTGATGATGATGATGATGATGATGATGATGATGATGATGATGATGATGATGATAAGGAGGAGGAGGAGGAGGGAGGAGGAGGAGGAGGAGGTAGAGGAGGAGGAGGAGGAGGAGGAGGAGGAGGGGGAGGAGCAGGATGGGGATGAAGAGGAGGAGGAGGAGGAGCAGAAGGATGCTGCTGCTGATGACGATGAGGAGGAGGAGGAGGACGAGGAGGAGGAGGAGGAGGGAGGGCTTGTTGGTGGTGGTGATGATGATGATACAGATGCTGATGATGATGGTGGTGGTGATGATGATGATTATGATGATGCAGATGATGATGATGATGATGATGATGATGATGATGATGATGATGATGATGATGATGATGATGAGGATGATGCTGATGCTGATGCTGATGCTGATGCTGATGATGATGATGATGATGATGCAGATGATGATGACGATGAAGATGCTGGTACTGTTGTTGATGATGGATGCTGATGTTGGTGATACTATTTATAGTGACGAGGATGCTGACGAGGACTTAGATGAGGATGATGATACTGACGAGGAGGAGTATGATGCTGATGGCGATTAACATGACGATGAGGATGATGCTGACGGCGACGATGATGCTGCTGATGCTGCTGATGATGCTGATGCTGCTGCTGTTGATGATGATGATGTTGATGCTGATGATGATGATGCTGATGATGCTGCTGTTGATGATGATGAGGATGATGGTGATGATGATGATGTTGCTGCTGATGATGGTGATGCTACTGACGCTGATGGTAATGTTGGTGGTGGTGATGATGCGGATGATGCTGGTGCTGATGGTGATGGTAGTGTTGGTGGTGGTGGCAGTGTGGTGATAGTGATGTAAATGGAGATTGCGATGGTGATGATGTTGACGATGACGATTACGCTGATGATGACAAGGCTAATTATTATCATGCTGCTGCTTCTAAGGGTGATGATGATGTTGATGATGACGATGCTGATGCTGCTGGTGATGATGCTGATGCTGATGCTGATGATGACGATACTGATGCTAATGTTGATGCTGACGATGCTGACCATGATGCTTATGATGATGCTGATGGTGATGCTGATGCTGATGATGATGATACAGACGCTGATGATGCTGATGATGATACAGATGCTGATGATTATGATGCTGATGATGTTGAGAATGAGGACGAGGAGGAAGAAGTGGATGATGATGATGATGACGATGCTGATGTTGCTGATGACGATGCTCATGACGCTGATGATGCTGATGCTGATGATGCTGATGATGATGCTGATGATGCTACTTATGCTGATGGTAATGTCGGTGGTGGTGATGACGCGGATGATGCTGATGGTGATGGTAGTGGTGGTGGTGGTGGTGGCGGCGGTGGTGATAGTGATGTAAATGGGGATTGCGATGGTGATGATGTTGACGATGATGATGACGATGATGATGTTGATGCTGATGATGATGATTGTGATGATGATGATGGTGATGATGATGATGATGGTGATGATGATGATGATGATGCTGATGCTGATGATGGCGATGCTGATTATTATGATGCTGCTGCTTCTAATGATGCTGATGACGATGCTGATGCTGATGCCGATGCGGATGCTGCTGGTGATGCTGATTCAGAGTATGATGTTGATGATGATGATGATGCTGCTGATGCTGATGCTGATGATGTTGCTGCTGATGATGATGATGCTGCTGAGGTTGAGGAGGAAGTTGAGGACGATGACGATGCTGATGATGCTGATGATGCTGATGATGATGCTGATGATGATGGTGGTGATGATGATGGTCATGATGACGATGATGGTGATTATGATTAGGATGATGATGATGATGATGATGATGATGATGATGATGATGATGATGATGATGATGATGATGATGATGATGATGATGATGACGATGATGATGATGATGATGGCGATGATGATGCTGATGTTGATGATGATGATGATGATGTGGAGGATGATGATGAGGAGGAGGATGAGGCGGCGTAGGAAGAGGAGGAGGACGAGGCAGAGGAGACGGGGGAGTAGGAGGATGAGGAGGTATGGCTTCCGATGGAGTAGGGGGAGGACTAGGTTTCATATCATTTTCCAGGTCGTGAAATCTCCCAGATTCCATGGCCCCCTTTCTTCCATCAAAACGGTCCCTTACCCGCTACCATGCCTCGGGCTGTGATGTGCTAACCCCCTCGTCCTCTCCTCCTGGTCCCCCCTTGTCGGCGCACCTGAAGGAGGAACACTGGGTTGGGTTGAGCAGCGTATGGCGACTAAGTCAAGGCCGGGCACAACAGCGTCTCACACCCTCTAGGAACACGGCCACCGCTCTTGGTGGGAAATCCTCGCGACGAGCGACAGCGACCCTCCTACCCAGCTTTGGTGGGAGGTTTACGTCGGAGGCTCAACAGCTGGGCAGTAGGAAGAGGAGTAGGAGGAGGAGGAGAAAGAGGAGGAGGATGATGATGATGCTGATTATGATGATGATGATGATGATGATGATGATGATGATGATGATGATGATGATGATGATGATGATGATGATGATGATGATGCTGATGATACTGATGATGCTGATGCTTATGATGATGACGAGGAGGAGGAGGAGGAGGAGAAGGAGGAGGACGGGGTTAGGAGTACGGTGTATCGAGGAGTCGAACACCATTCGGAGTCGGAAGTCTGCGGAGAGGTGTGCGCCGAACGCGAACGCCACGAGCAGGGGGAGCAGCAGCACCAGCAGCAGCAGGAGGACCAGCAGCAGGAGGAGCATGAGAGAGCACACGCTCGAGGCTGGAGGTGGCCCGCTTTGCTCGTGCTCGACAAGGGGGCAGTGGGTCGGGGGGCCAAGAGGGGGGTGATGACTAGGGGGGGGGTGGATATCATGGCGTGGGCCATGATATTTCCTCATGTTTCATGGCGCTTCTTCTTATTTTATTACGTCCCTGGCCCCCCCGCGCACATGCCGCCGGCCATGATTTGCGCCCCCCCCCCCTCTTGGACGCCCCCCTCTTGGCCGCCCCCGAGTGGGGAGTCAGCAGAGGACGGGGTGGCGCATTCCCGTGCAGAGCTGTGCTGCGTGTGTGGTGCACAGTGAAGAGGCTATCGCTTGGATTCGGGAGTTTTTGAGATCGTGTGGCACAGCAGCATGCTCGACTTGCGATGATTTTTGGCTGCTGAGAGTGCTGGATGGTGGTCGTCACGCGAGTCCGTATACGTATTGCATTTTGAGGCCGCGGATTCCACGCCATGTCCTAATGGGTACGGGCGGGCTCTCTTGCTGAGCGCGCTCGAGTCGGCGTTCGATCGTTCGTTTCTCATTTTTTCCCCTTGCGATCGTTCGTAAACCTGATTCCTTTCGGCTCTTCTCTCCTCTCTCCTCTCTCCTCCTCCTCCTCCTCCTCCTCCTCCTCCTACTCGTCGTCGTCGTCTTGATCGTAGTCGTCGTTGTCGTGGTCGTGGTAGTGGTCGTGGTCGTGGCCCTGGTCGTCGTGGTGGTCGTCGTGGTCGTCGTCGTCGTGGTGGCCGTGGTGGTCGTCGTGGTCGTCATCATCGTCGTCGTCGTCGTGGTGGTGGTGGTCGTCGTCTTTCCCCTACTTCCCTCCTCCCCTCGGCGTGGGCGTGTTTCTGCATCGGCCGCCCTTGCCACTCGTCTGGAGCATCAGCCACAGGGCCAGGCCATCAGCTGGTCGATCACTCCTCCCGCCTGCGCCGCGAGGTCTCGTTCACCGGGAACCTGTCCAAGAGCTCGAACCAGAACTGGATCCGGACCCTGGTGCACCGCAAGGTCTCCGAGGTGGGCGGCGAGTCCAGCAGGACGGCCGGCCGCCTCGCTCTTGCATTCCCCCCGCCCTCGTCCTCGCCCTCCGCGGCCTCCTCCTCCTCCCCCCCCCCCTCCTCCTCCCTCCCTCCTCCTCCCTCCTCCTCCTCCTCCTCCTCCTCCTCCTCCTCCTCCTCCTCCTCCTCCTCCTCCTCCTCCTCCTCCTCCTCCTCCTCCTCCTCCTCCTCCCCCCCCTCCCCTGGGAGCCGGCTGGCTGCACGCGACGCCCAGAAGCGTCGGTATGACGCCACCTTCAGTCTCGCACCGTCGGGCATTGGGGCGCCTCCGCCGGGCCCCTCGTGGGCCGCCCTCCCAGTGGGGCGACCCTCCTACTCCGCCTCCTCCTCCTCCTCCTCCTCCTCCTCCTCCTCCTCCCTCTCTCCTCCCTCTCTCCCTCTTTCCCCCTCTGCCCTCCACCCTGCATGGTCCATCTTGATGCCGCCGATCTGCTTCGAACTCGGTCCTGGCTGGCCAGGTCCGACGCGACTCCGATACCCCAGCGCTCGGGTGCGGCCCAGTGCTTGCGCGGCGCTGTTGTGCCTCCCGGCGCAGCGGATCCGACTCGATTTCGATTCCGTGCCGATGCAGTCCGATCCGACGCACATTTCGATTCGGGCCGATTTCCCGATTCGATGTAACTCGTCCTGCCCTGACCCCCTCCCGCTCGACATCCGACTGTGCGAGTAGAGAGGGGATCTGCGCCATGGTAAGGGATGGGAGGGATGGGTAGGATGTCAGATATGACGCGAGCGCACCTAGCTTGCCATACCCCTCCCTCAGTCCCTCCCTCCATCCCACACTCCTACATTCCATTTCTCCCCCATCCCTCGCAGGGCAGGGACACGTAGTGACACAGGGGTAGGCGGGGCGCAGTCGCGGAGTTATGAAAAGGAGGATGCCTGCCACGCGTGAGCTGAGCGGCGTGCGCCTGGAACGTAGCCGCTCTTCCTTCGGGCTCCCTTCTTTGCCCTCCGCTTCGGGGCGCAGTCGTGGCCAGGACTCCAGGGGTGATCAGGAACGAGGTAGGGGGAGGGGGGGGCGGGAGTGACTTGATGCAGACATGGCGGGCTCCTGCAGCCTTGCCGCTGAGCCGCAGGCGGGCCTGCGCCCACATGGATGCTCGGCCACGAGCTGGACGGCGGGCTGGAAGCCTCCTCGTTAGGCCTCAGTAGCTCGTAGGTGGGGGAGGCGGAAAGCGTAGCTACTGTCGTCGACGCGCGCGAAGCCTTCACAGGGATGCTCGCAGAGGCCAATATCGAGGCGTTGTATGTCTACCACCAGCCTGATGAGGCGCGGGACCTGAACCTCGCGGACTGGCTCGGCGTGCCTTGCGATGCTGCTGCTCTAGGGCGGCCTTGCTGTGCTGCCACTCAGCGCCTCTGGTGCTTGAATCATGTCGTCGAGCGGCTGGCCAGTGCGCTTGGGGATGGGGCGGATTGGGTCGGCATCTACAGGGTGGCCGATGGACCATACTCGAAGTGCCTTTCGATGAAGGTTTACCAGGGTTATGTCAGCCTTTGTTGTTCCATTGGCCGATAAGGTTGCTAAAGAGTCAAACAACTTCACTCGCGCAATGCAGCATCTTGCTGCTGTTGTCGGAGGCACCAGTGTGCTGAAGCAGGGGCAGCCCTACTACGAATGATGCCGCAACACGCGTGCTGAATGTTGCACGCCGATCGTGCTGAATGATGCATGCCGATCCTGGATGCAAATGGGTCATTCGTCGGCCTCACCGATGCGGAGTCTTGGGCATCAGGATTGTTCGATGTTAGTCGCCTGGGCATCGTGGCAACACGTGCCTCGGATTTGGCCAGCGTCTGGGTGATTCGAGTTGATGCCGTCGCTGAGAAGGCTGCGTAGTGTCACAGTACCGTGGCCAACTTGACTTCCCCACGCCACTTGCGCAGCCATTCAAGTGACCTGTCCTGCGAGGCCTTGGAGTGAAGCTTCATTGCCGTTGATAAGTGGCTACTTCTGCAGCTCTCACATCAAACAGGTTTGGCTTTTGGACAACCCTTTGCTGCACGTCGGATTCAGTTTCTCCAACACTGCTGCATGCAATGCCCATCATGTTGTACAGCGCTTATAGCCGTTAGAACCTGCCAGCACACACAAGGAGAAGTATCCCTTTTCGGCGGATCATTGGCTTGACAACATGTGCATTTTGGCGATTGAGACTGTAGCTCGTATGCTCGATCTGGGCTTCTCAGTCTAGTAATTTCTAGTTGTGTACTCGCGCAACGGCCAGATTGTGAATTTGCGGACAGCTACTTCTTCCCATGACAATGTGTACGTGTGGGGCACCGCAGTGACACTCTTTTTGCAAGCAAGGCGGCCCTTGAGTGTTTCGATGTCTGACGGGAAAACGGCTATCCTTTTGGCGTTTCCAATAAAAAAGGATGCACCAATTATGCCGCCCGCCAGAGCCTGACATATCGTCCCTCGGGACCCTCTCGGGACGCTCTTGGGCGCTTGGGCCTGCCCTGGAGCCTATGGGACCCTCAAGTCTTAAGGTCTCGGAAGCCCACTGGGAGCCAACGTCATTGAACAGCTGTAGGCATTTGAAGGATTCTGGCCTCTCGGGGATCTCATTGGGAGGTTTCGCGCCCGCTTGGGGCCGTCTTGTAGCGGTCTGGGGACCTCTTGAGGCCACCTTGAGCCATCTTGGGTTATCTCTTGATAATCGTCCACGGGGTTCGTTTTTTTTTTTTTTTTTTTTTTTTTTTTTTTTTTGTTGTTTTTTGATGTGTTATGGCACCTTGGTGCAGGCGGGGGTGGTCCAGTTAATTAGGCCGTTCTCTTGCAGCCGACGTTCCAGGGGGTCCTTTTTATTAGGGTGCCTTTTGCGCATTCGATTTCATATCACAGTTACGCACGCGATAGTCTCGAAGCTCGTGTTCGTGACCACCAGCCTGCAGAGCATGATCGTCACCCATCGTGATCAGCATCATCGCTTTTGTTATCATCGATGGACGCCTCCACCGTCATCATCGTCATCACCACCATCATCGCATTTGTTGTTCCTATGGCCGTCACCGTCGATGCTACGTTGTTCATGAACACTTCGCAGCGTGTTTCTCGATCACCGTCATCACCACCCTGATTGTCATAATCTGCCCCCTGCTCCTACTTCACAGCTCCATCCGCCAGCGGCTGCGCAGTGTGGTTCTCCGCGCGTGCAATTCTTACCGTTCTCAACGCGTGTGTTACCGTAGTGGGTAAAGCACCTAGCGGTAGCGAGATCGCTGATGCGGCGATTCTATCCATGATAATTTTGAAGATGATCCCGCGTTCGTAACGCCGTTTCCTTACTTATTGCCACTATGCTCACCAACGTGACTGCCGTCATGAATGCTCACGCTCGCAATGTTGCAGGGGGTATCTGGAACAAGGCTCCCCTTGTGAAGAAGGGGTCTGGAGCATAGGTGTCGGGGGTCTGGTATTTTAGGGGGGAAAGCCAAGTTGGATGCCATGCTGGGCTTTATGTGGCCATCTTGGAGCCATCTTGGTCCATCTTGGACCCGCTCACCCCTCGCGAGACTCTGGCCCGGACCCCAGGGGAGGGCATAGGGTAGGGGTAACCCCCTTCCCGAAGGGGAAGAAGGGGATTGGAAGAACCAGTTCCCTAAACCACCCACGCCCAGAGCTGGTGGAACCCCGTCTTTAGCGCTGGGCTTCGAGGTCTCTTGCCTAGCTGCATGGCCCCTCGGTGGAGCTCGGCTTGCTGGGGGGGAGATCCGACGCCTCAGGTCCTCGTCCTCCTCCTCCCCCTCTTCCTCTTCCTTCTTTCCTCCTCCTCCTCATCCTCCTCCTCCTCCTCCTCCTCCTCCTCCTGCTGGAGGGCGTTCAGACGGGTGCCTGCTCTGCCCTCCCGCGCCTCCTCCTCCTCCGGTGCCCAGCCCCAGGATGATGGTCAACAGCAGCATCCTATGCCCCGGCTACAACAACTCGAAGCGGCCGCACTGTGGCCCCCAGGGGGGGGGAGGAGGAAGAGGAGGAGGAGGAGGAGGAGGGAGGAGGAGGAGGAGGAGGAGGAGGAAGAGGAGGAGGAGGAAGAGGAGGAGGAGGAGGAGGAGAGGAGGAGGATGGGGAGGAGGAGGGGGAGGAGGAGGAGGAGGGGGGAGGAGAAGGAGGAGGAAGAGGAGGAGGAGGAGGAGGAGGAGGAGGGGGAGGGGGAGGAGGAGGAGGAGTAGAAGGAGGGATAGAGGGAGGGAGGAAGGGAGGGAGGGATGAAGGGAGGGAGGGAGGAAGGGAGAGAGGGAGGGGGGGAGAGGCCCAGGCGTGGCCGTCCTCTCGGGCCGAACTTTTGGTGGGTCTTCCGTTCCTTCTGTCTCCGATGCCGATCTTGTTTTCGTGCTCCGCTGCTGGTGTGAGCTTTTACGGCCCTCGAGGTCCTCATTCGAGCTGGAAGGGAGTGTGAAGAAGAGGCTATCTCTTCCACCACATTTGGACGCAGCTCATGGGCCCGAAGGGCTTGGGCCTAGAGAGTAATAACAATTGTAAAGCGTGCTGCTGGCGCTTGCCTCCGTTGCGAATTTTGCCCAATTGTTGGAGATTCGCATTTGCGCGACCGTGACCCCCTCCCCCAAGAACAGGTCCAGTCGACATGGACGCGGTCGAACAAGAACAGAGAATCGTATTATTTCTTCACTTTGGCACTACCCTTGCGCACAAGGATGCCGCGGGCAGATACCATTTTGGAGGCCAGGAGCGACTACAAATGCTTCATCAGTTTCTGGCTGCCTTGGCCGATCTCGCTGTGAGTTCCTACTTGTACACTACAGGGGATGTTGGCGAAGTTGAGGCAGAGCTGCATCGCATACATGTCACTGGCCACTTCATGAATTCGAGCAGTCAAGTTCGAATCCTCAAGGCCCAATCTGACGCAGCTTCTTTTGGCCACCAAATACGGGAGTTCATCGCACCTCGTACACTTGCCAATATGTCCTTGCTTGTGGACGGTCGGGGTCATGTGTGCGATAATGTCGAGACAGCAAACCCTGGTATGGCTACTTTTGCGTGTGAACTTACGCGGGACGATTGCCAGAACATAGTGGAACACATCAAGAAGCTCACCCTCGGCATCCGAGCTGAGGCATGCACTGCAGATTCTACGCTCTCTTCGGTGAAGACGAACTCCGCACAGTCGCTGCAGGCTTTCTTCGATTTCGACAACACGATCACGCAGAGAATGGTCTTCAACGATCTGCTGGGTGAGTTCGGTGGCCACAAGCCAACCAGGGAGATGGCGCAGGCAAAAGACGATGCCTGGTGGTTCCAGGAGTTCGGCGGCCCCGAGCGTGTGGCCGTGCTCGCCTCCATGCTGGGGCGCCTGCGGGACCTGAACGTCAAGTGCTACGTCTGCTCGCTCAACGAGCCCGACGTGATCATGGAAGGGCTCCACCGCGTCCACCTGACGAGATATCGAAGACGCCTGCGGCGAACCACCGCCGCTCGCTGCATTTTTGGAAACGCCCACATCGGCGCTCTGAAAGTCTTATTCCGTTCTGAGAGGCATGCCGCCGTGCGAATGCAGCGCAGCTGCAAGATTGCAAGCGTGTTGCAGGAAGGAAGCCGTGCACGGTCCTCGCCGCGCTGGCCCGACGACGCGTTCGGGCGCGAACGCTGACAGATCCGGCGCGCTTTCGGGGCAACCGGGGTCAGACAATGGCCTACCCGATGCAGTGTTTGGCAGGAAGTCCTAAGCGGTTTGTTCATTGTTGGGTTCGTCGGAGAGGTCAGATTTTAGCCCCAGCCATCTGACCACCTCCAGGTCGGCGAGACAAGCCTTCGGGTTGCCTTGGGAGCCAGCCCGAAACGTTTTACGGGGGAATTTCTGCGCGGTTTGCTCATTCTCGGGGCCGTAAGCCGCTTAGCCCGATTCCAGCCTGGATGGGCTTCGTGTACTCGGCCCTTGCGGCCACACAGGATGGTGCGCCGACCCTGCCTCAGCGCCCACCGTCCCCTCCGCTCTCGCCCCCCAAGCCGCCCCCGTCGGCAATCTTCGAGCTGGCGCTGGCCCATACTGTCACGAAGCGCACCATGTCAAAATTGGGCAAACTTTCTGATCGGCGCAATATGTGGCCAAGCGTTGGAACTCTTGCCAAGATATTTGTCCATGTGTTCTCCTAGCCGTTGTGGAAATCCTTCGGGGAATTCTGCGGGGAGGGAAGGGGTATACATGTATAGGGAGGAAGAGAGGGAGAGAGAGAAAGAGAGAGAGAGAGACGAAGACAGAGACAGAGACAGAGACGGAGACAGAGAGGATGTGGATGAGGATGAGGATGAGGATGAGGAGGAGCAGGAGGAGGAGCAGGAGGAGGAGGAGGATAAGGATGATGATGATGGGGATGAGGATGAGGATGAGAATGAGACTTAGGATGAGGATGAGGATGCTGATGCTGCTGCTGCTGCTGCTGCTGAGGAGGAGGAGGAGGAGGAGGAGGAGGAGGAGGAGGAGGATGATGATGATGATGATGATGATGAGGAGGAGGAGGAGGAGGAGGAGGAGGAGGCTTCTTGGGACCTCCTGAGGGCTTCCTAAGGGCCTCTCGGGGCCTCTTGGAGCCTCTTGGGGGCCGCTTGGGGGTTTGGGGGGCCTTGAAGAGACCTCTTGGCCTTCAGAGGCCGTTTCCGTCTTGGAAGCTTCTGTGGTCATCTCGGGGCCTTCTTGGGCCCTTCTTTGGCGCCTCTTGGGCCGTGCTTGGACCCTCTGGGCCCGTCGTGGCCCTCTTGGGGGCTGTGGGGCCGTCTCGGACTCATCTTGGAGGGCTTGTTGGGAGGTCCTCGGCTGTCGGAACACCGAAGAGGCGAGAACACGAAAATCATTATGACTGATTTGGGCTTCTTGCGGGCCGCCTGGAGGGCCTCTCGGGACCATCTTGGGCATTCTTGGGGCCATCTTGAACCGTTTTGTGCCGTCTTGGAGCGATCTGGGGCCGTCTTGCAAGAATATTGGGGCCATCTTGGGCTCTCTTGGGGCCACCGTGTCAGTATTGGAGACATCTTGGGACCGTCTTGGAGGCTATCCTGGGCCGTCTTGGCAATCTTGGAGGCGACATTTCTTGATTTCTGGTTTTTGATGAGCCTTCCCGGTGGCGGCCGGGTTGAGCCGAGACCCCATTGGGAACGTTTTGGAAGGGCCAATACATATTCAAACGTTCGGCACGCCAAGCATCCCTCTGCTAGCAGAAAGGAGCGGCGGATCGAAGACGCCTACGGCGAATCACCGCCGTCCCCTGCCTTTCGGAAGCGCCTATGTGGCCGAACGTTGTTGCCAGAGCTCGGTCAAGCTATCGGATCTCGAATCAACTGTTCCCCCAGCCGTTTGGAAATGCTTCAGGGAACACGCGGGGGAGAAAGAAGAGGAGGCGAGATCTCTTCGAGCTTTCCTGGAGGCTCTCTCGGAAGCCTCTTGGGGGCCTCTTGGGCTGTCTTGGGTTCTCTTGGAGCCATCTTGGGCCGTCTTGGGTGCATCTTGGGTCGTCTTGGAGACATCTTGTGGCCATCTTGGGCTCTCTCGCGGCCATCTGAAGACTTATCGGAGGCAACTTGGAGGCCAGCTTTAGTTATCTTGGCCGGCTTGGAGCGGGAAGACCGATCACCTGGGAAGTTTACGGGTCCCTATGGGGCGCCTTGGAGGCTATGGTGGTGCCTTCTGGAGCGGGAAAACCGATGAGCTGGGAAGTCTACGGGTCCTTCGGGGTGGCCGGCGGGATCGGCAGAAGGCCCACTGGGAACGACCAGAAATCATCGAACAAGCACAAGGAAATCGATGGTTTTGGTCTCCTGGAGGTTCTCTCGGAACCCTCTCGGGGCGTCTTGGGGGACATTTTGGGCAATCTGTGAGCCATCGTGGGCCACCCTGGGTGCATCTCGGGCCGTCTTGAAGACACCTTGGTTCCATCTGGAGCTCTCTCGAGGATCGTGGAGACGATTCTTCCCGTTTCTCCTCTCCTTACGCGTCCTTGCGGGTCTTTGCGTGTCCTGCTGGGTGGCTGGCGGCCCACCTGAAGTCTAGCACGCCGTGCACCCCTGTGAGGGCCCCTGTGGCAAGCCAGTGGGCGGCGGATGACGGAAAGTGCGCTTAGCGTGCGACGCGTTCGTCTGAAGATATGGAAATAAGGAGAGTTTGAGGGGGTTGGCATGTGTATTCGAAGGGATCTAAAGCCACAGTGGCAATTTCGCTCGGGTCATCCTCCAACAACTGTCCTCTTTTGGGATCGCTCGGAAGGCCTGAAGACGGCCCAAAATAGTCCAACAAGATGGCTCTAAGGCGCCATTCATCCGCCCGAGGAAAAACGAATACGCTAGGGATATCCTCACACAAACGATCACAAATGAGATGTAGCCGACATTGCTCTTGTCCTAAATGACGATTTCGCTTGGGAAATTCTCACATATGAGAGGTCGTCGACGTCGTCTTGGTTTCGGTGTTGGCTACAAGTGAGATTTCGCTGCGGACGTCCTCACACAAATTCAATGTTGTCGACGTCGCTCTTGCCCAGCATGCCGATTTCGCTAGGGACATCCTCACAAACATGAGATGTAGTCGTCGCAGTATTGGTATCAGCGTTGCTCAACTCGGCGATTTCGCTGTGAACATCCTCACACAACGCAGTGCTATCGACATCGTCTCGGTATCGCTCTTGCCCAAAGTGGCAATTTCTCTGGGGACATCCTCACCAAAATGGGATGTCGTCGACGTCGTCTCGGAATCGCTCCACTACGATCCGCGAGGCTGGCCAGGCGGGTTGACACGGCCCGGCGAGAACGACCGGGCGGGTTGCAGCGGCCAGGCGGGTTAAAACATACAGGCGGGCTCACACGGCCAGGCGGGTTAAGACGGCCAGGCCTGTTCCATCGGCCAGACGTGTTAAATCGGCCAGGCGGGTTAAGACGGCCAGGCCTGTCCCATTGGCCAGACGTGGTAAAACGGCCAGGCTGGCTAAAACGGCCAGGCGGCTTGAACCGGCAAGGCGGGTCAAAACGTCCGAGGACGTCAGCGCGGCCAGGCGGTTAAAACGACCTGGCGGATTAACACGGCCAGGTGGGTGAAGTCGGCCACGCGGTTAAAACGGCCAGGCGGATTAAAATGGCCACGCGGGATAAAACGATTAGGCGGGTTTAAACGGCCAGGCGAAGTAGTTCGGCCAGGCGAGTTAAAGCGGCCAATCGATTGAACCGAACACGGCCAGGCGGGTTACAACGGCCAGGCGGGTTGAAATTACAGGCGGGTTAAAGTTTAGCGTCCAAGGATGTCAGCGCAGCCAGGCGGTTTAAAATGGCCATGCCGACGAAAGCAGTTACGCGGTCGTAATGGCAATGTGGTTTTGAAGCGGACATTCGGATCAAAACGGGCGCGCGGGTTCAAAGGCCCAGGCGGGTTGAAAAGGCCAGGCGGGTTGAACGGCCACGCGGGTTAAAACGGCCGAGGATGTCAACGCGGCCAGGCGGTGGAAACGACCTGGCTGATTAACGCGACCAGGTGGGTGAAGTCGGCCATGCGGTTAAAACGGCCATGCGGGTTAAAATGGCCACGCGGATTGAAACGGCCAGGCGGGTTTTAACGGCCCGGCGAAGTAATTCGGCCAGGCGAGGTCCAGGTGCCAGTCGATTGAACACGACCATGCGAGTCAAAAGCCTAGGCGGCTTAACACGGCCAGGCGGGTTAGTTACAACGGCCAGGCGGGGTAAGATGAGCAGGCGGGTTAAAGTTTAGCGTCCAAGGATGTCAGCGCGGCCAGACGAGTGAAAATGGCCATGCCGATGAAAGCAGTCACGCGATCGTAATGGCCATGCGGTTCCAAGCGGACATTCGGATCAAAACGGCCACGCGGATTCAAAGGCCCATGCGGGTTGAAAAGGCCAGGGGTTGAAATGCCCAGGCGGGTTAAAACGTCAGCGCCGTGGACATCTTCGAAACAAATCATCAATCTCCAACTTCGCATGCCTGCAAAGATGTGTATGCTATCGTCTTGCAATCTCTCTGGAAGGGCCTACGGACGGCTGAAGAGGGCCCGAAGACGGCCCAAAAGTGCCCCAAGACTCCCAAAGGATGCGACAAGGGGCGAGGGGAAGAGAGGACCTAAGAGGAGGAATAATGGACACGCCAGCTCGCGACATCACAAAGTCAGTTGCGCTTTCCGTCCCCGTACCAATCAGGTAACGGAAAGAGCGAGGTACGAGTGATGACGTTTTGGTGTGGGCGAAGCCCTTAAGAGGGGTTCCAGGGAGGCGTAGGGGGAGGGAATGGGCTCTAATGGCCGTTTTCGGGTTTTTCCGTTGTTTTTTGCATGTGTTTTTGCATTGCCCCCCAAGGCTGCCCAAGAGCGCTCCAAGAGAGCCCAAGACCGCCCAAGACGGCCCAAGGGGCCTCCAAGAGGCGCTCAAGGGGCGTCCCCAGAGGGCCCCAAGAGGCCAACATCAGGACAACGTATGTTTTAGCACATACGTCTTTTCGGCTTTCACGGTGTGACGACGGCCCAAGAGGCCCCCAAGACCGCCCCAAGACGGCCCAAGAGGCTCCCAAGAGGCACCCAAAACGGCCCAAGAGGGCCCCAAGACGGTCCAAGAGGCGCCCAGGACGGCCCACGAGGGCCCCAAGACGGCCCCAAGAGGGGGACCACGAACCGAAAAGTTTAGCCTTTCGCCCCAAGGCGCTCCCAGGAGGCCCCAAGAGCCCCCCAAGAAGCCCCAAGAGGCCCCCAAGAGGCGTCCCAAGAGGCCACCAGGAGGCCAAAACCATTGATTTCCTATGGGGAAAGGTGCATTTTTAGCATACAAGGCTTTTCGGCTCTCACGGCGTCGAAGACGGTCCAAGAGGCCCCAAAGACCACCCCAAGACGGCCCAAGAGGCTCCCAAGAGGCCCCCAAAACGGCCCAAGAGGGCGCCAAGACGGCTCAAGAGGCGCCCAAGACAGCCCAAGAGGGCCCCAAGACGGCCCCAAGAGGGGGACCACGAGCCGACAAGTCTAGCCTTTCGCCCCAAGGCACTCCCAGGAGGCCCCCAGAGCCCCCCAAGAAGCCCCAAGAGGCCCCCAAGGGGTTCCCAAGAGGCTTCCAAAAGGGCCCGAAAAGGGCCTTAATAGGACTCCCAAGAAGGCCCAGAGACGCCAAATAAATAGCGATCGGTAACGCAAAAAGCTCTTCACACCAAGGCTCCCAAGAGCGAACGGTGACGTAAACAAGCTGATAAGACCAAGGCTCCCAGCAGAGAGCGGTGACATAACAAGTTCCTGATACCAAGGCCCAGCCAAGGCTCAAGAACGGGCGGCAACGCAACAATCTCTGAACACCACGGCTCCCAAGAGCGAGGGGTGACGTAACAAGCTCTCAACGCAAAGGCTCCCAGTACGAACGGCGGTGTGAGTAATTTCAGTTTCTGTTTCTGAAGCGCTCTTTCCGTTTCAGTGCCGGGCCAGGTCTAGTGGTCTTCGGTCCATCTTGCCATCGTGCTTGGGTCGCAGACAAGGGGACTTTTGGGTGCCTCTTGGGTCCCTTTGAGGAGGTTTCTGAGGGTCTATTGGAGATCTCTTTGGGGCCTCTTTTGGGGCATCATGGACGACAACACTCCATGCAGAAAATTCGAGGGTATCCGAGGATACTTCTTCAGTGCCTGCGGCACGGTGGCAGATTTCTGCAACGACAGCGGCTGGGTCCGCATAGTCCCCAGAGGACTGCCGGACAAGGGCTTGCGTGTCCGCCAGGTGTTGAACACATACGGCGCCGACGCGGCAGGGACAATGTTCGTCGACGACAGCTCTGCAAACTGCCGTGATGTTTCCGCGGTGGCCCCGGGCATTGGCGTTTTGCACTGCTCGTGTCGGGGCCTCTCCATGCAGGACTGCGAGCATATCGTTGCGCATTTTCGGTCCTTGGCATCAGCTGCGGAGTCGTCACTGTAGCAAGTAGTCTCCAGTGAAAAATGCTGACGTTGTTTGCCCTTCCCTTCTCGCTGCATTCCCGCTTGCCTCGTCTATACCTCATGTGATGGGCCTGAGGTGCGCCTCGAGCACCGCTTAATATTTAGACGCTCTGCCCCTTCCCCCCCCTCCCCGCTCCCTTCGATGACACATGGAATGTAGGGTAGCCCTAGCGCCCGCTCTCCTGGAAGCCCGCTCTGTTGCGTCCTGACAATCTTGACTTGCGCCAGAACGCCGTTCCTGGGACTTCAACGCCGCGAGTCCACGCGACTGTTGCGTCCTGGCAATCCTACCTCGTCCCCGAACACCATTCCTGAGACTTCCGCCATACGAATCCAGGTTACTGTTGATAATTTGTATGACGAGTGTGTGCGGCGCTAAGGCGAGAGCCACATTTTGAAGGTACCCGCCCTCCATCTGTGTAATTGTTGCGAACTTCCAGGACGAATGTGCACGGCGCTAAGGCAAGAGCCACATTTGACCCCACCCGCACTCCATCCTTGAAGCTGTGACAGTTTGCAAGCTTCAGGATCAGAACTGGTGAGGAAGTCTCAGCCGAAACGCCCGGCCCGCCCTACGGACACGTCTGGTGGTGCGACAGGTCTGATTTACTGACATGGGAAAAATTGATGGAGGAAGAGGAGGAGGTGGTGGAGGAGCAGGCCCCGGGATCGGCGTCTGGGGAGCAACACCGAAGCCGCTCCTGGGCCGGCGATCGCCCTGCCCTCGCGGCTATGCCGCACGCCGGGGTGTCCAGAGCGTCCAAGGGCCCGTGCCGTCGGCTTTCCGCAGGCTCACTGTTGGCCCAGCCGCAGCTCCCCCAGCACAGACGCGAATATGTATTCAGGGAGGAGGAGGAGGAGGAGGAGGAGGAGGAGGAGGAGGAGGAGGACGACGACGACGAGGAGGAGGAGGAGGAGGTGGAGGAGGAGGAGGAGAAGGAGGGGGAGGAGGCGGAGGGGGAGGAGGAAGGGCAGGAGGAGGAGGAGGCGGAGGAGGACGCGGAGGAGGAGGAGGCGACAGGTCCGGTTTCCATGCCAAGTCGGTGCGCTCCGTTGCCGCACAGCCTCTGGCTTCACGTCTCGGAGGCTTTTTTCCCCCGAGCTGCGGAGCTGGCTCCCACGCGCCAGCTCCACGGATCCCCAGTCCAAGGTACGGTGGGGGCGTTCGTTCAGGAATGTGCCCAGGAGGCTTCAGACTCTGATGGATTCCTTTTCTGACGAGGGCGGCCATGCTGTCCATGAAACAGCCTCAATTGGCGCTCCCCCAGCTGTCAGACCGTGGACTCCTCATCGACGGGTTCCTTGTCCAGGACCCCCGCCGCAGCGTGTGGCCCGCCTGTACCGCTGCCGCCCCAGAGCCCCTATCACAGCCGGGCTGGCCCGGCAGTGCCTCGCGCCCGAGCCCCCCGCCCCCCCCAGCGGAGGAGGGCGCCGGGCAGGCCTGGGCAGGGGCTTCACCATGTGGGACGTCGTGACGGACAGCACCTTCTGCATCGAGCCTCCAGGTCTCGGGGCGGGGTAGCTGCTTCGTGTTCGCTCGCTCTCTCTCTCTCTCTGCCTCTCTCTGTCTTCCCCCCTCGCTCCTGACGGCGAGGGTTGATGTTGGCCGTCATTGCTGCCCTCTCTCCCGTCTCTTGTCTTGCCGCCTCTCTGTTTTTTTTTGTTTCTCTCTCTCTCTCTCTCTCTCTCCCTGCCGTCAGCGCGCTGTGCGTGTGTGGACACCTCAGGCGCTCGTTCCCTTGGGTGCAGGAAGAAAAGGAGGAGGGACCAGCTGTTAGACGGCTCCTTTCAGTAATGGCCCGCCCGCGATGCGGGTGCATCGGTCAACTATTATCCTCGGTCTCGACCGACTGGATCTGTTCGATTCGACCGGGTAGGTAGTTAGCATTTTGTCCCGCCTCTTCTTGTATCCTGGGTATTTCGTGCCCGATCACGATCTCGCGTTCGATTTAGAGTATTTGGAGGTCTCCGAAGTGCCTGAGCCTCTGATCGAACAGATGCATTCCCAGGCTGTCATGGACAAATCGTGATGTCGGGGCTTCAGATATCTCGGCTTTCACCCCCGATAGGGCAGATCTGTCAAAATGTGTCAGCTTCCCAGCTGATGGGAATGGGACTCCACCGTAATTTGCGGCTGGCCTGCGCCTCATTCCTTAGGAAAGCAATATTGTGGCCTAGAACTCGGCGCAGGTTCAAGCGGGTTGCTATAGAATGGGGAGGAAGAGGAGGAGGACGACGAGGATGGGGAGGAGGGGGAGGGAAAACAGCGACAGTGCTAGCGTCAGCGATCTTGCGACAGAACGTGGAGGAGGAGCAGGAGGAGGAGGAGGAGGAGGAAGAGGAGGGGGAGGACACTTTTGAACCCCCTCTTTGGGTGGGCTTCTCTGCGTCGGGTCGATCCACACTGGGACCACCGCTCAGGTACGCCACCCCGGACCAGAAGGGCAGAATTCCACGTCCAGCATTTCTCAGGCACTCGGTTCACGACGGAGTGACCGAGGGAGTGCAGACGACCCAGCCAAGGAGGAGTGACCTTGACATGATGCTAAAGGGCGGCCTGGTCGTCATCGCACAACTGAACCGTGCGTGTTTGTCGGTTCAGGAGGCCGCAGTCCCCGAACCTTTTGCTCTGCTTCGTGGATTTGGCCCACTCGCACCGAGGAACACCCGGAGCCCAGCATCAGTTTGGATCAGTGCTCGCTTGCCAAGGTGATGGAGAAGGTGAGTGTATATTGCGACAGGCTTCTGTCATCTTCTGTCAAAGGCAAGTTAATGTGACCAGTGGCATGGTTTTGGGCCCGCAGCGAGCTTTGCCAGAAGATCCGCACGGCCCGGATACATGAAGTTTACCATATTCGGACGTTGGTGAACGACACGTGGAATGACATAGAGCGGCGCCAGTTCGTGCGCACGGGCAGGGCCGCATATCACCATCTTTTGTAATGGTTGCCTCGAACTCCAGGAGAGAGACCTGCATGGTAGGGCTTTTCATGACCAAGAGCACCTGTTTCCCCATTTGGCCCCATAGTTCGTCGAACACGTGCATCGGATATGTGTTTGTCTCGAGAACGCAAACAGCATCTCCTAGCCAGTCGAAAACGGTTTTCGTTGAACAGGTAAATGCGCAACTTAGCATGTCTCCTGGACGCGGGCGCGATCTCGGTTTGTCGCTCCGACACGGCGGCGGGATAGCATATCAAGCATCCTACAGTGCAAACGATGAGTAACACTACCAGAGACAACATGTAGTTGAGCCCGTCGGACACACGATGCATCATCAAGCTATTTTATCGGAGACCTGTACCTCCCCCGTTGAGGGCTCGAGCAGGAACAGAGTGCCCATGTCTACTCTGCTTCCCGTGTGCGCGTGACTGCACAAAACACTAGCAGAATTGTCATCGTGAAGACGGTGTTGGTGAATCGCTCAACCGACCGTTACCGACGACGCCACCAACCGATTCTTTCGTTGGTGTGATGTTGCCCCGCCTCCCTTTCTGTGGCTGTTTGACCCAAGCGATTGTGTGGGCGCGGCGGTTAGCGCTGCTGCCTTGCATCGCAAGCTTTATTCGAGGCCCCAGAAGGCGCGAAAATGCTCCGAAGCCTCGACCCTCGATCCCCTCCTCCATCCACTCCTCCTTGCCCCCCGGGAGTGCGAGGAGTGGTCATGGGTCCAAAGACCGTCTGGAGACGGACCCTCCCTGGACCTCCCTGGACGCTCTGCCACCGTCCGGTGACTCTGGAGGCCCAGGCGCTCGAGACATCCTCGGAGAACGACCCGGGCCCCGGAACGGCGCGCCTACCTTGGAACGCCAGGTGATCCAAGGTGAGCGCGCCGTTCCGGGGCACGGCCCCCCGCCTCCTTGCCTTGTTCACCCTCCAGTCTCGCGCATGGGTGCAGGCGGGGAGCTTCAGTTGGTTCCCCCGCCGAACACAGCAATCGAGGATGTATCGTCCATGCATTCGGGAAACGAGAAGTGTCATGTATGTGCTTGCTCGGGAATGTTGTCTGCGGTGTTGGAGCACCGCCGTCCGTGCAGCATCGGTCCATTGACACGATGGCTCAAGTTTTTTCCGGCTGTAGAGGTAGCCCGCGCCACGTTCCTGGAGCCCGCGCGCGGGATCTGCATTGGGGCCGTCCCTGTGGTGCGAATCATCCGTGCCCGACCTGCGCTGCCGTCGTGTACTGGCCAGCGGTGCCCGCCTCGACGGCCGTCGGCCCGAGGGCCTCTCCGCTGGCCGTGGCTGGTGGCGCAGTGCTGGTGGCGTGGCTCTTCGTCGGCGCCTACCTGCCGGGCACGCTGTGGGGGCTGCCGCCTCGCGAGGTGCAGGTGCGGCACGCTTCGTGCCGTGGGTAGCGGTGACCGACGACGCGACGGCTCTGAGGCAGCAGGATCAGGCGCAGCTCACGTTCGCCCGCGGCCGCAGCGAGGCCGCCCGACACGATGGCGCTGAGATATATCGGGGCGTGGCAGGCCCCATCGTGTGTCATGCTCTGTTGTTGGTCGCCGTATGTCTCTGGACCGTCGACGGGTACGGAGTGATGCCCGATCCAGATCATTACGAGGATGCCTGCGCGAGGGGGTCGGACTTCGCGAGTGTGCACGACCTGTCGCACGTGCTGGACGTTCCTGCAGGTGTGGTGGCGGTGCAGATCTATGGCCCTGTCAGCCACCAGCTCCCAGCGGGCGCCCTCAGCCTTGGAGAGCGTGCGTTCGTCCACGCGAGGGGTGTATCTGTCTCAGTGGCGCTGCTCTCGGCCAGCGACGAGCTGCCGTTGGCGAAGGGCGATGCACGCATGGTGGGCGTGGAGCATGATGTGCAGGCCGAGTACGTACTACCGCTCGTGGGACGATACGGTGGCCAGCTCGTCGGAGGTGCCGAACCCTGGTGGCTGGGACGTGCAGGGCCCGCGTGTGGTCCGCTGGTTCATGAAGCAGGTTAGGGACAACGGGAACCACTCCTTCCACCCCCACGAGGTCTGGGTCCGCCTCTTGAAGGTGCCGTCGGATGGTAGGAGCGTCTACGAGCATGAAGTGCGCGGCAGGGACGTCGGCCTGGCGGAGATGCACGACCAGCTGAACTGCCCGTCAGTGCCCGCGTGCGAACTCATGTCCATGAGGCTCGTCCTGATAAAGAAGGCCCACAGTGTCTCGCCTAGCCAGCTCGGCTACGCCGCCGCCAATCGGCGCTTGGGCTGGAGCCGCCGGTCAGGAGGCGCGGCTGTCTCGCCGGGCATGTCGGCCTACGGTGGGGACCAGCTCAATGCAGAGGCAGCGATCATGAAGGAGGTTTGCAAGGCTAGGGAGGAGGGGTTCGCGCGCGGCCAAGATCGAGGCAGAGGGGGTGGCCAGCCGCCGGCCAGAGGCGGCGGGGGCCAATGACGCGCCGAGGTCCGAGGGGGCGGCGATTGGGCCCGCCTGCCCCCCTTGCCCGCCACCCCAGCTATCCCCTGCCAACTCAGGGTAGCGAGGGGAGGCGCGTGCCCAGGGAGCTCTTCCCGCTCCCGAGTTTTGAGGAGGCGACGCCGGACGCCCCACATCTTTCTCATTCCGTCCGTCAGCGCCTACGGCATAGGCACGCCAAGGGAGTCAGGGCCAATGAGAGTATCAAAGCCCTGAACGAGCTCTATGGCATGCCATCTTCCTCGGTGCTGGCACCGCCGACGGCGGACAGGGGCGCGGCCCAGGCAACGGCTCAGCACGCAATTTTGAGGCGCGTCGGTCCCGCTCGAGTGCCCTCTTTTCCGCAACAACGAGAAGCCGTCCGCGAGCCTCTCGGCTCCGACCTCGTCTACGACAGTGGGGAGGTTCCAAGTAATTACTGTGGCTAGGTATGACTCCACGCGGATCGCGGTTCCGGAGGAGTTGGAGCAGCCTCCAGCCGCACTTGATGTTCCCGACCCCGAGGGGTGCTATGCCTGAGAGAGTTTCGAGCACGCATGATGTTGTCTGAGGACGAGTTCGGCCAGAGATGCGAGAGTGAGGCGCCTGTGATTCTTTACGTGGACCCGACGCTGGCCGCAGATGTGCATAAGTGCGCCGACTTCGTGGCGCGACTGAACCGCGCAAACATGCTGAGGTACTCGACGAACGCTCAGGACCTCATCACGCCGTTCTTTGTTCGCAAGAAGTCGGGGCAGCTGTGGATCGTATGGGGCTGCCGCGCGGTCGACACCCGTTTCGCCAGATGCCCGAAGATGAACATGTCGTCGGGGAGCAAGTTGGCAGATCTCGAGTTCGGCCCCGAGGGGGGGGTGTTCACCGCCCAGGCGGATCTGAAGAACTACTTCTACCACCTGGGCATCTCGGAGGAGCTGTCCGAGTTTTTCGCCCTGCCCGCACTCGACGTCAGCTTGCTGAGGGGCAAGTGCAGGCTGCCGTCGGACATCGCGGCGCTCTCAGAAGGCAGCAGGGTGTCGCCTTGTTTGGCTGTGGTTCCGATGGGCTGAAGCTGGGCGATGTGGGTGGCTCAGCGCGTGGTCTATCATCAGTCCGTTCGCAGCCAG